ACACGGTGTGCTAGCCCAGCTCATAAAACCTGTTTTTCCTGACCACGTTCCAGGGTGCCACTCTCGGTCCTTACATAAAGCCGTCCTGGTAGGTTTGATGGGGCCAGGCGACAGCACATACCCACCCAGGTCTTGGCCCTCCACGCCTCCTGGACAGGTGTGGCCTAATCCCACTGGCAGGTTTTCTTTCCATCTTAAAACCCTTCTGCTGCTGGGAACGGACAGACTCCAAAGTGGCCATTTGGCAGGTCCCTGCAGGGGTTACAGGCTTATAGGCGTTACGCAAACGCTTGCCCTGGGCTCTGCGGAACTTACCATTAAAATCGAATTTTTTATTTTTTTTAACAATATTTTTATGATTTCAGAGATGATGGGAGGAGGAGAGAGAGAGACAAAAACATCAACGAAAACATCAACGATCGAGCCCCCAACCCGGGCATGTGCCCTGACCTGGAATCGAACCGTGACCTCCTGGTTCCCGGGTTGACGCTCAACCACTGAGCCACACTGGCCGGGCTAAAATCCCATTTCCTATTCCAAGAAGTGTCTATGTGAGCATGGATCTTGGCAGCAGCTGTGTCCCTGTTCAGAGAGCATGCCAAGTGCACCTGTCGCCCCTTCTCCAAAGTGTGTGAATTTGCAGAAATCCATTGGACGTGGCAGGTCTTTTAATTTTTGTGTTAAGGCTTTGTTACTGGGGGAGAGGGCGGCACGGGGAGAGAACCACGGAGGCGCGAGCTCCGTGAAGAATTAAGGCTGGCATCAAATGGGAAGGCACGCAAATTCATCCTGAACATGGAACGCTATGCAAATCTGAGCTCCCATGCACGTAATTCACTGTGATGAGCAGCGGTTCTCAACCTGTGGGTCGCGACCCCTTTGGCGGTCGAACGACCCTTTCACAGGGGTCGCCTAAGACCATCCTGCATATCAGATATTTACATGACGATTCATCACAGCAGCAACATGACAGTTATGAAGTAGCCACGAAAATAATTTTATGGTTGGGTCACAACAGGAGGAACCGTATTTAAAGGGCCAGAAGGTTGAGAACCACTGGTGATGAGGCTTGGTTCCCACCAGGCAGATCCGATGGTGCCGTTTCTCTCTTCTCCGAGCCTCCTTATTTTCCCGGGTGGACGACGTGCAGTCACATGATGGGCTTCCCTGGGATTCCTACAGGGAGGGAGGACATGGGCGCAGATGGGAGGGGAGGGGAAGCCAGGACAGACGGAGACAGGCTGGGCTGGTGGTCTGTGCCTGGCCGTGGCTTTGTCCGGTGGCTTCAGGTTCACCCTCCTCAGCCGGAGTCAGGCTTGCGGCCGAGTGACACAGGGAGCTGGCTTCTTGCTGGCTGTCCTCTGGGGGCCACCCACAGTTCCTGGTCACGTGGTTTTTCCAACGTGGCCACTTCCCTCATCAAGCCATGAGTTTCCATCTAACGTCATGGAATCGAGAGAAGCACAGCTCATGATTTTTGCCACTTTCTTTCTTTAAAAAAAAAATCTATCTATCTATCTATCTATCTATCTATCTATCTATCTATCTATATTTCAGAGAGGAAGGGAGAGGGAGAGAGAGATAAAAACATCAGAGATGCCCTGACTGGTTTGGCTCAGTGGATGGAGCGTCGGCTTGCGGACTGAGGGGTCCCGGGTTCGATTCCGGTCAGGGACACAAGCCCGGGTTGCAGACTCAGTCCCTGGTGGGGGGCGTGCAGGAGGCAGCCGATTGATAGTTCTCTCTCATCATTGATGTTTCTGACTCTCTCTCCCTCTTCCTTCCTCTCTGAAATCAATAAAAATATATTTACAAAAAACCCCAACATCAGTGATGAGACAGAATCATTGATTGGCTGCCTCCCGCACGCCCCCGACTGGGGATCGAGCCCACAACCCGGGCATGTGCCCTTGACCGGGAACCGAACCCTGACCTCCTGGTTCATGGGTTGGTGCTCGACCCCCGAGCCACAGCGGCTGGGGCTGGGCTACACATTGGACACGTATGACTCACTTCGGCGAAAACAACCCGTTGTGTCAGTTACCGTCCGTGTTTCAGTGACGGGGAACCGGGGGCCAGAGAATTTATGTAACTTGTTGAGAAGGGCAGCATGTGGCGGTGAGTGTAAGCTGCTGAGTCCAGAGCCTTTGCTGGTCGCTTCTGTGTGTGGCGTGGCGCCTGCTCCGCCCTGCAGAACCGCGATGAGCCGTGTTCCCGACACGGAGGTCTGAATGAATGGGCTACCAGCTGGAGCGTGGCCTCGCGCTCAGCGCCCCTCCCCCGCGAAGCCGTGCCCCCGTCCGGCCCGGCACCCGCCTCCCGTGGTCCTGGCGCGGTGTGTCCCCAGCCTTCATTGATGCCGGCGGAGTGTCCGGACTGGTGGCCTCGATGGCGGATATTTCTATTTCTCCCCTCCACCTCCCCGTCCTGGGAAGCCTGACCTTAGCAGCCCTCCGTTCCAGTTTGTCTGTGACCTGATACTTCAGCGCTCGGGCCCAGAAGCCGCAGGCCTGACGGACATCCCACACCTGTCAGCACTCCAGGTCGGGCCACGGATGGGACCGGGCTCTGAGGGAGGGCGGGGCTGGTCTTGGCCGTCTCTTCAGAACGTTGTCAGGTGTCCATGGCAACAAAGCCCCATGGAGATGCTGAGCGGAGACTTGGCCCTCGTCCCGCGCGGCGCCAAGGATATAGCGACCTTTGAGCTGCCGCTTGCCGACAGGGCTGGGAGGACTGGCGTGTCGCTGGCCCGGGGGTGGGCTCTCCGCTTTCACAGAGGCCACAGGAACCCGGGGTTTTCTGCCAACTACTATGTGCCGGGCACTGTGCTGGGTGTTAGGCACAGAGCAGGCTCCTCGGGCCCTTGAAGGACGTAGAGCCTGATGGTAAAGCTGCTCACATAACCACTGACTCCCACGTACGATCGTCAGCACTGTGTTACACACGCGTGGGATTTGGAGACCCGGAAAAGGCAGTAGGGAATCCTGCCCGCGGACAGAGTGATGCTTCGGCTTCCAAAGGCAGACGTGGTTCACTGCGAGATGAAGTCGGTGCAGTGGCCGGCACACAGTAGGGCAAGCACGGTACCTGGCACACAGTGGGTGCTTATGGGTAATACCTGGTTAGGATCAGCATTAAGAGCAGTAGCACCCTAGTCACGAAGAAGAGGTGAGTGATATATTTTTGTTAATATGTTTTTATTGATTTCGGAGAGAGGAAGGGAGAGGGAGAGAGAGACAGAAACATCCATGATGAGAGAGAACCATGGATCGGCTGCCTCCCGCACGCCCCCTACTGGGGATGGAGCCCGCAACCCGGGTATGTGCCCCTGACCGGGAATCGAACCGTGACCTCCTGGTTCATAGCTCGACGCTCAACCTCTGAGCCACGCCGCCCGGGCAAACATTGCCCCTTTAAAGGAGATGACATCCGATTGAAAGACACTTTGACACTCATATGGCGCTCACCTCTGCCTGATCCCCAGGACTTCTTCGTGGTCAACACCTGTGAGCCGTGGCTCCCCCACAGCCCCTTTGATATTGGAAGGTGTGGAGGGCCCAGGGGAAGGCGTGTCCACTCGGCTAGGCGACCTCTCCTCTTGTAGGATCTGGTCCGTCACTCAAGGCTGCCGAAATCTTTTTGGATCCCACCTATGTCACCTGACAGATTTCTCTCTTTCTCAACGGGGCATTGTTAGAACAACTGGAGAAGCACGCAGCCTTTATTTTGAGCCAAGTCATTGATGAACATGTTGAACAGGAGCGAGCCAGGGGGCTGGGCTCTCTGAAGGCTGTGAGAAGACTCCCTCCAGCCCCGGCCAGTGTGGCTCAGTGGGTAAAACATCAGCCTACGGCCTGAAGGGTCCCAGGTTTGATTCCTGGTCAAGGACGCAGGCCCGGGGTGCGGGCTGGGTCCCCCGTAGGAGGCGTGCAGGAGGCAGCCAGTCAGTGATCTCTCTCTCATCATTGATGTTTCTGTCTCTCTCTCCCTCTCCTTTCCTATCCGACATCAATCAAAATATATTTAAAAAAGAAAAGAAAACTCCCTGTACATCAGTGTTAGTTTATTAATCACCTCTCTCTGGGCGCTGGCTTTGTCCTAGCTGCGGAGTGAGTCCCCCTAACTGTGCAGGTCTGCGCTTATTTCTTGCAAAAATTCAAATACCGACGGGAAAGGGCACCTGAGCCACTGTCACCCATTTACTTATTTTTTTATTTTGATGTTGTTGGTCCTCACCTGAGGATATTTTCCCGTTGATCTTTTAGAGCGAGTGGAAGAGAGAGGGAGAGACAGAGAGAAACATCGATGTGAGAGAAACCCATCAATTGCTTGCCTCCTGCACGTGCCCGGACCAGGGCCTGGGCCGGGGAGGAGCCTGCAACCGAGGTACACATGCCCTTGACTGGAAATCGAACCCTGACCTCCTGGTTCGTTCACAGGTTGACGCTCAACCACGCCGGCCGGGCCAGGCGTCCCATCTCTGCGGCTCGGTTTTCTCCATTGTAACACGGGGGGGTGGGATGCGGTGGCAATCACGGAACGCCCGCCCCAGGGTGACTGGGAAAGTGGAAAGCTTATGTAAGGGGCCCAGTCGGTGGAAAGTGTCCGGGGCTGTTGTTTTCCTCCTCGGCCAGGGCTCCTGTCCCGAAGCCTGGGACCTCAGGGGGCCCCGGGCCGGCCGGGCCGCTGTGCCCAGCCCGCCCCAGTTGTGCAAGCGCTCTTGGTTCTCTTGTTACCCGGGAGCCGGCAACAAACCAAAATAAAGGAAGGGGACAGGCGGGGAGGGCCGAGCCTCCGCAGGGAGCCTGAGCCGGTCAGCTGGGAATGCCTGTCAGCCATCCAGGGCGGCTCCCGCATGGGCCTGGAGGTGGGAGAGTGACTCACGCCGGCCGGTGCCCTCTCCACCCCCCCGCGCCCACATGCTCGGCCCTCCCCAGCCCGGGGCTCACCTAATCCCCACCGTGGGAGTCGGGGGGCATGTGCGGCCGAGCCGAGGTCTAGGGTTGCACACAGGAGCCTGCGAGTGGAAGTCTCCGTGCAGCCAGCGTCCCACGAGGCGGGCAGCGAGGTCAGCCTGGCCGCTGCCGTTGCCTCTCCAGCCCAGACCCGGCCGGCCGCAGGCAGCGCCGCCCCGCACCCGGGAGGGCATGGCCGAACCAGAGGGCAGCGGGCTGCAGGTGCTGCTGCACACGCTTCAGGTAGGAAGGGGCGGAGGGGCTGCAGGCGGGCCACCTGGCGGGCTGCGTCTCCGGGCCCCTCCGGCCGGCCCCTCCGGTGCCCGGGCTCGGTTGGTTTGCTCATCGGCGGTGATCGTAGCCTGGGAGTCAGCCGAGGCTCTCACCTTGAGGCGGACCCAAGGGATGCTCTGGGGGTTAAATATTTAGCACGGACGCTGTTGCTGAGAGCTCTGCTGAAGCCGTTGAACCTGGTGGGATTAGAGGCTCAGGCGGCAAGATCGGGTTTTCGGGGGAGACGAAAGCGGGGGGAAAAGGCCCCCCTGGCACATGAGGACGTGTTGATGGTGCCCCTCAGCCCAGCGAGCGGGGAGGCCTGGCCCAGGAGGCCAGGGGTACGGGAAGCCACTCCTCTGGGCTTCTGCTGAACCTGCTCTGGGTTCCCACCGAGTGTCTGCCTTAGAGTTGCCCGGGGAGCTTTGCTAACGCTGCACCTGCCCAGGTGGGTCGGCCAGAGGGAATCAGGATCACCCCGGGGCCCCGGCTGGCATGGCCCAGTGGTTGAGAGCCGACCTATGAACCAGGAGGTCACGGTTCGATTCCCGGTCGGTCGGGGCACATGCCCGGGTTGCGGGCTCGATCCCCAATGTGGGGCGTGCGGGAGGCAGCCGGTCGATGATTCTCGCTCATCATGGATGTTTCTGTCTCTCTCTCTCTCCCTCTCTCTTCCTCTCTGAAATCAATAAAAATTAAAAACAAAACAAAAAAAGAATCGCCATGGGCCAGGGTCTGGGAGTTGGCCTCCCTACAGAGTGGTTCTGTTCACGCCTCGGTTTGAGAACTCTTGTCCTGAAGCAAACTTGGTTGCACCCTAGAATCACCTGGGGACTCGCCCCAACTCCCCCCGCCCCGCCCCCCCCCCAAATCAGATTTAATTGGCCTGGGAGCAGCTTGGCCACTGACGGTTAGAAGACGCCCTGGGTGGTCTCCATGTGCCGCTAAGGTCAAGATCCATGCTTTCCAAACGTGGGCAGAGGCGTGAGCTTAACCGGATGCAGAGAATGCCTGGGCTGGGAGGGCCCAGGGGTCGTGGAAATCTGAAGGCTGTGATCGGGGGCCACGGAGGATGGGCCGTGGTACCTCCGCCCTCATGTGGACTGTAAACGTTGTGTACTCCGCTGTAAAAAACGGTCTTAGTTTTCCTCTGATTATTTTTGTTTTTTATTATTTAAAAAATATATTTTTATTGATTTCAGAGAGGAAGGGGGAGAGAGAGAGAGAGAGAAACATCAATGATGAGAGAGAATCACTGATCAGCTGCCTCCTGCATACACCCCATTGGGGATGGAGCCTGCAACCCGGGCATGTACCCCGACTGGGAATCAAACTGTGACCTCCTGGTTCATAGGTTGATGCTCAATCACTGAGCCACTCTGGCCGGGCTCCTCCGATTCTTAACGAGAGCTGTAACCCTAAAAAGTTAAAGAATGAATAAATCCAACCTTCCATGTAAAGATAAGAAAACCGAGTTTCAGAAATGAAATAGTCCCCCCCCCCCCCCCCCCCCGGCTCCCAAGGTCAGGTAACCACCTAACTGGGGAACTGGGACCGGCACCAAACAATTCCAAGATCCCGTGACGTCATGTCCTTTGACTCATTCGATGCGTAAAAGGCAAGGACGCGTCTGGGCTGGGAGCGTCGGGGGTGGGAGCGAACCTCAGAATAAATTTTCCGCCGGCTCGGAAGTCACTGCCAGTTGAGCACAACCCCCTGAATTCCCACCAGTGGGGGGTTTATAATTGATATTTAGAATGATCGCTCCGGGCCATTGCGGGATTCTCAATCAAAGGAAGATTTAATTATGTCCCATATACCCTACTAAGTCCGCAATTAACCAGAACATTAAAATAACGGGATCGAGCTTTCCCTGTGCGCTCGAGTTGGTCAGAATCCGGGTGTAGAATTATGTGGGTTCCTGGCCTAGCCTTGAGCCAGCCCCCACAACTGTCCCCACGAGTCCCCCTTCTGTCTTGGCGGAACCAATCAGAACTCCGACATACAGTCCAACCTCGGTTCTCCAACGAGCGTCTCCCGTCTCCAACAATTCGCTCCTCCGCCCGACAAAGCTTTCATGCTGACACCTGTAGGATCCCTCACGCGGCTCTCAGGCGACAAAGGGGGGAATCCCGAGTATGAATCAGTTTACCGCTGTTAATATCTCAGGAAACTGGGCTGTGAATATTTTCCTGTGTGTGTGTTTGCTGTTTTTGTGTGTTTGTTTGTTTTTGCTTTTGTTGCTTCTTATTTGTTATTACATTTTTATTTTTCACTGTACATTTCCTTCCCTTTTTGGTTAAGTTTTCATTTCCATTTCAGGTCCCTTTTGTTTTTGAAGTGTTTATTTCTAGATTAAGTAGTACATTAGACATGTACCGTACGTATATAAGAAAGGTTAAAGGAGGGGATCATTTGGGGGTCTGGAACGAATTAATTCCATTGACATTATTTGTAATGGGAAAAATGATTCAGTTTTCGAACAGTCTTCTGGAATGAATTAAGTTCGAGAACTGAGGTTCCACTATACTTTATTTTATATATTTTTTATTTTAAATATATTTTTATTGATGTCAGAGAGGAAAGGAGAGGGAGAGATAGAAACATCAATGATGAGAGAGAATCATTGAGCGGCTGCCTCCTGCACACCTCCTACTGGGGATCGAGCCCGAAACCCAGGGATGTACCCTTGACCAGAACAGAACCCGAGACCCTTCAGTCCACAGGCCGATGCTCTATCTACTGAGCCAAACCAGCCAGGGCAGTTTCACTATACTTTAAAAAAAGAGGACCAGCCCGGCCAGCGTGGCCCAGTGGTTGAGTGTCAACCTATGAACCAGGAGGTCACGGTTCGATTCCTGATCAGGGCACATGCCTGCACTGCAGGCTCCATCCCCAGTAGGGGGCGTGCAGAAGGCAGCCGATCCATGATTCTCTCTCATCATTGACGTCTCTCTCTCTCTCTCTCTCTCCCTCTCCCTTCCTCTCTGAAGTCAATATGAATATCTTAAAAACATAAAGAAAGAGGACCCAGCGCAGATATTCCACACAATCGTATCTCGTGATGGATTTGGGGGGCTCTCCCCCAACCCCCGCGGACGAGGAGGGCCCTGGAGTTTCTGAGAAGTTAGCTGAACCGCTTTCGACGGGCGATCCCAAGGGTCTTACTGATTCAAGCCAGACCTGCATTCCTTGTACATCAAGGAGAGAGAAGGCTTGGTGTTGCTTCTCTAGCCTCTGGGGAAGACTGTGTGGTTGGTGTTAGGGTCGCCCAAGGAGGTACACACGAGGCCGAAAGGGGTAAAGAATTATGACTTTTTTAGGTCATCTGGGAACTAGAAGGGCCTGCCTGTGGACTGAAGGGTCCTGGGTTCGACTCCGGTCAAGGGCACATGGGTTGCAGGCTTGATCCTTAGTAAGGGGCGTGCAAGAGGCAGCCGACCCATGATTCTCTCTCATCATTGATGTTTCCATCTGTCTCTCCCTCTCCCTTCCTCTCTGAAATCAATAAAAAATATATATTAAACACAAACAAACAAAACAGAAGTGCTTGTGAGCTCTACACGCTGTTCAAACGACCGCAGTTTTCTGGTTTCCCCGGTCGAGGACACGGTGGCAAGACTGGGGACACTGGCCTACGCTTTTCATCAGTCCGCCCGGCTTTTTTCCTGGGCGGACGCCAACGCGCGTGGATGAAAAGGAAGGCATCTCGTTCTGTCGCGCTCTCATCTCCCCCCCCCCCCCCCATGCCCCACGCTCATGGGGGACTACGCGGGGCAGCCAGGGTAGCAGCACGCGGGCGCCACGCCGGCTCCCGCACCCCGAGCCCTCCCCCAGCGGCATCCCCCGCACACCAGTGCAGCTCCTTATTGAAGCATGAAACGTGTGCGATGGTTCGGTCAGCGTGGGCAGCCCCGGAGCTGCAGTACGGGCACATTTTTGCGGTTTGCATGGGTGCTCTGGGGTTTGACGTCAGAGCTGTTCCAGTTGAATCCCAGGTCTGTGTGTCTTTGCCAACATGAGCAGAGCGAGCGCCTTCTCTCGGTCATCTCTGATGGATCGTGAGCGAGGCTGCGGGATGTGGCTTCCTGTCTGGAGGTAGCATTGAGCTGTAGGTCATCGGAAAGCTGGTGGGGGGACAAGACTGTTGGGTGGGATGGTATGTCCAGAAGAGCAAGGCCTGCCCAGCTGGCGTGGCTCAGGTGGTTGAGCATCATCCTGTTTAGTGAAGGGTCACCGGTTCGATTCCCGGTAGGGTGCATACCCAGGTTGTGGGTTCGGTCCCTGGTTGGGGCGCATGCGTGAGGCAGTTGATCGGTGTTTCTCTCTCCCTCCCCCTTCCTCTCTCTAAAATCAATACAATTTAGCCCTAGCCGGTTTGGCTCAGTGGATAAAGCGTTGGTGTCCTGGGTTCGATTCCAGTCAAGGGCACATGACTGGGTTGCAGGCTCCATCCCCAGTAGGGGGTGTGCAGGAGGCAGCCAATCCATGATTCTCTCTCATCATTGATGTTTCTCTCCCTCTCTCTCTCTCTCTTCCTTCCTCTCTGAAATCACTAAAATATATATTGAAAAAAGAAATCAGTATAATTTTAAAAAGTATCTAAAGACATAAAAAGATGAGCAAGGTCTTTGAATTTTGACTCAGCCCCTCACCATGTATGGGATGCAGGACAGACTGTTGAACTTTTCTTTACTGGGATGTTTTTCATCTTGAAATGAGAATTAGAATACCTGCTCATGGGCTTATTCTGCGTTCATAGAGAAAATGCATGTGGAAAGGTCAGCATCGTGTGTGTGCCTGAAGGCCAGTCGTGATTGTATTGAAACACTGTGCCTGGCGTCATGGAAACACGATGTTAGCGTGACAAGGGAGGAGGATGAAAAGTTTTTGTGGAGCAAGTCTGCACGTGATGACGGTCAAGGTAAACATGCAAAAAAAATTTGATGGCTTTTGGAAGCCCGAACTCC